TCAAAATATTTTAGGGTGTTCGGCGAACACTGCGAACCTATGGACGCCACGCCACTGCTACAAACTTATACAAATTAGGTATGGCGGGTAACCACTGAAGGGTGTCAACATCAATCTTAAGTTAAACCAGATTGACGTCGTAAAAATGGACCACTAGACAAGGTACGAATTTCAGCATTCTGATATATGTTTCTTCACCAAAATTTCACGTAAAACACGATGCGCACAACGAAAATTACCGAAATCGACTCCTTCCGAAGATATTTGATGATTCTTGGTGCGTGAATTGAAACCACCCGCTCATGAAAACTCAATGCTCTACTTGATTCACATCGCGCGCTAAACGTTATCATGAACGTCTCTGCGATAAAAAATCTGGCAATCTCAATCTTGACGCTTTGGCTCAGCTATAGCAAATTACTTATAGTTTGAAAAACACATGGTGGGAAATGAACATTGCTCGATTGAGAAGCATGCTGAAACCGTTGTAGTGCGCGAATTGACTCGCGCAGAGCTTTGAGTTTCTTGTGAGCGGGCAGTTCAAATTCCTTGTAACCAATGTGAAATAAAAATGTTAATATCTCCGTTAAAAGTTGGTTTCAGTAATTTCCGTTGCGCTAATTGTGTTCTACGTGAAATTTTGGTTCAGAAACATGGATCAGAATGCTTAAATTCGTACCTTGTCTAGTAGTCCATTGTTAAATTTTTCTGTAATGATAGCATAAGGAAACATCGTTAACTGAATAAAATGATTTCCTTTTGTAGAGGGAGTTTTTTCGAGTAGCTGTACAGTATTCAATCATACCATGACAAAATGTTGCTCCAATTTTGCTTGAAAAGGGTCACATTCAAACATATAGATATGTCGAATTGTGCCAAACTGTATGTCTGATCGAAACATCTATGTTCGCTTGATTTCAGTCGTGATGATAAGGTTCGAGGAAAGTGGTCGCACAAGAAGTTTGCTGAGAAGTACAAACTAGGAGACCCTATCGCATGCAATTTTTTTCGAGTACGATGGGTGAAAAGTCTAGAAGACAATGACACCCATGTAGTGTAGAAGAAATGAGGAAACTTTAGAAAACAATTATCTCGTTAAATTGAACAGGCCCACTCATCGAATGCATCCACGATAAGGATGAAAAACAAAAAGAGGAACATTTTAATTGACGGCTCGTGTGCCTCTCGAGAGATTGCCACGTCAAAATAATCTCAGCTCACAGATATAGTGATTGGAGACAAGTATAAGAGCTCTCCCCTCTGAAAATATATGTATATCATGTTTGAATGCCTTAGGTCAGACTGGCCTTTTGATTGCGCGTTTGTCTGTGTAGGTACGTGCACAATCTAGCTTTCAGTATCTGTAAATACATTTTGATAAAGTAAACTTTTTATTTTGTATTTTCATAATTATATGCATGGAGGTAAGTCACGAATAAATGCAACCAAAACTTCGAATATGAATAATGTTTTTAACCCTAGTTCTCCAAACCCGGGCCTGAGAGGTCCGGCTGCAAGTTCAATCTTCCATACTTTCTCACGACTGATGTATTAAAGACTAGTTAATTTATTTTTTTATTATCAAATGCATTATTATGATTTATGAGAAAACCGCTGCGAACATTTTTTGACAATCGGCAAGACTTCCTTACCACATTTCGACCAAAACTTAATAATTAAACGATGCATGAAGCTATGACGATTTTGTTTTTAGCACTTTTTTTTAAATGACTAAAAATTGGCTTTCATATTGATTTTAAACATTTGTCGAGGTGATTGGAATGACATGCAGTAAATGCTTGTTTTTATTTGGACTTTGGGCACTGTTTAGCCACGTGACGGGGCAGACGGGAGTAGGTATAAAATGCGGGTGCTAGGTCCAAATAGACCTGAGGATTACTTCTAAATACACCAGACTCTCAGTCTATTTGTCACCCAGCACCCGCATTTTATACTTTTTTTAAATAAACAACATTCCTCCATCCACCATATTATATATTTTTTTAATAAAAAATTTAGTACTTACAATTATTCCTGGAAACCAAAACTCTGGAGGAGTAGAAATAAATTATTGTGAAACGTGTTCACAATAATTCTCACCCTCCGCTGGCAAGTTTCACAGTAATATAAACGAACACTGGTCGGAACGCAGGTCGTGCAAGGCGCTCGACAACCACACTCACACAATCTGAAGGGCGCCGAACCTGCGTTCCCACAACGAATGCAACAGGAATATATGGAAACAATCTCTCGGAGCCGCGTTAAAAAATCAACAACCTCAACGAGAGAGTCCATGATTCAACTGACGCTCCTAGGGAAAAACGAAAGTCTACGACCTCAGTGAGCTAAGTTAAAGGATAAGGTTAAAGAGGAGCGTCAGAAGATGCAATAATTTATGCGAACTGACCACCGCAGCAAAGGAGAGGCTGCAGGTTGTTGACTTTTCGCTGTAGGAAAAACGAAGGAAGAAGGTTCCAACACCAGGACTGCACCAGCCATGCAAACTGGTCGAGAAAAACGAGAGTCTACGACCTCACTGAGGTAGGTTAAAGGATAAGATTAAAAGAGAGCGTCAGAAGACGCAAACTGACCAGCGCAACAAAGGAGAGCCCACGGGTTATTGACTTTTTACTGTAGGAAAAACATCCAGGGATTGCACCTAGCATGCAAACCGGTCAGTACCTAGAGCACAACACAGGTTGTTCACTCTACAACCTCAAGCGCAATGATCGCTGACGCACAAACGTCGCATTTCTAAAAAATGGAACCATCTTAAGTCTAAAAAATATAAACAAAATTACTAATATCATCAACCATTTATTCAAAAGTAATTACATGTAAAAAATTCTTAAATATAGAGAAAAAAAATAGCTTTTTTATCAAGCTAGGTTTAATTCATTTTCTTCATCATCATCCTCAGAAAAATACCCATCGTCTAAACCGCATATCAAAGAAGCTAGAAAAGCATTGATTTTTAGACATTCAATTTCCAAACAAACTGCTTCATCATCCCCAGGAAACCGATCTTCATACCATTCAAATATTTCATTTGCAGTCTCTTTGTCCAAATCACTATGATATCTTGAGTATATGATCACTTCAAAATTCTCGACAAGTTCTGAGGGCTGGAGATTTTTTCTGATTAAAAATAACTCTTCTAATTTAGTAAGCAAAAACGAACCATTCGAAAAGTTCTCCATAATGAATGTTTATTGCAACAGCACACTTTTCAAAAATAAAGTTTTTTATTCACATACGCTCAGCAGAGTTATTAGATTGTTTTAAAATCAAATTTTTTGAAAAAATAAATCTATTAATAAAAATCCAAACCGAAGGTGGAGGTGGCAATTTATTTGCATCAGGAGAAGTACAGAAACCAGCGTATAATTTATTCATTATTTAATAAATCTAAAAAAAAGATTGTAAAACACATATAAACGCTAGAAATCACCAAACGCGAGTATTGTCTTTTAAGTAGTACGATAGGTAACAAGCATGAAGATATTAATTTCGGGTTCTCGAAAATGGACGAACGAAAAAGTTATTAGGTTTGCGATTGAAAAACGTCTGAAGGAAGCAACAAAAAAAAATCAAACTCTCCGCATAATTCACGGCAATGCCCGCGGCGCTGATATGATAGCAGAAAATGTTTCAACAAAACTTGGAATAACCACAATTAAAATGAAAGCAGATTGGTTTAGATACGGAAAAAGAGCCGGATATCTTCGCAATCAGAAAATGTTGGATGAAAATAAAGACATATCACTTGTTTTAGCTTTTACGGTTGGTTATGACTCCCTCGGTACAAATCATATGATTAAAATCGCCAAAAACGCTGGTATTCCAGTTAGACATTATATATCCACAACGGAGACAAATCTGCACTCCTGTGAGTAGAGAACTAGTCTGTCTAGACAAGCCACTGCGAAGCTGCGCAGTGCACAGACAGCAAACTGGTTTTTACTCATTTGGACAAGAAAGGGCTTTAATTTTGAAGAAAAACAATAAGAATCTTGAAATAAAACTAGGACACGGAAGCCTTTTCAGTTTAAACTTCCCCACGAATAGATTTTGGTCGCACGGTATTCCCAAGGACAGTTTAATACACAAGCCACGCATAAGTTTAACATTTCGGAAGTTCCTCACTCCATCAGTTAACTGACTTCAAATTGATTTTAATAGAATAGAAATGAAACCCCTCCCCCTTCCCACTCTCCTACTGAAAAGCTATAAAAGCAAACTCCTATGAGCAAAACATTTCATTCACATTTTCTACCCACTCAGTTCAGGTCGTACTGAAGGAAGAAACCTACTATCAACATGCAGCGCTCCCAGTGTGTGAGATTTGTAAGTTTTACTCTCGATGGAAAGACATGTTATGACCCAGAGTTAATCTATACTAGCGGCTCCGTCGGAATGGATGTGAGAGCTGCAATTACAGTTCCAGTAATATTGGAACCACACGGAACGACTATAATTCCCACAGGCTTAAAAATTCGTATGCCTGAAAATTTAAGGGGTGAACTCCGCGGGAGGACTGGACTTACGTTTGAACATAATATCATTGTGTTTAACGGAGTGATTGATCGAAATTACAGAAACTCGATTTATGTAAAACTATTCAACCTTGGAGAAGAAAAATACGTCATAGAACCAAACGAGCGAATCGCGCAATTAATATTTTCAGAATTTCTACCCATAAAGTTGCTCCCTCTACGCGAAGCTATCACAGAAAAAGCAATTGAGGCGACAGAAGCGTTCGGCTCGAGCAGTAAAATTTAAATTGAAACCCCCCCCCCCCCCCCTATCCACGCCACGGCAGGCTTTAAAACGGCTACGTTTGGCTTCAAACTGTGCAGTGTAGCTTGAATCTCAACGAAGAGTGAATCGCTGAAAATACTTACTTATGCAGGAGTATACAATAAAACTTATAAAAAGTGCATTCCAGAACCAGTATGTCTTTAGAATAACTTTACGGAACATAACTGCTGACGTAACAACTTTTTTAACTTCAGTTCGAGATGGCGTCATACGCTTTATCACAACAGCCATGCTCAGGAGTAAAATGCAGTTTAAAGTATCATATAGTTTACGCTGTACATACTATCATCAAATACTCGAGATTTTGTTGGAAAAATCTCACCACGCTAATATTAAAGCTCTTTATACAGAATATGATATAGACGTAACTTACGACGAGGCTACAGCGGAAATTAAGAATGAAGAGACCGAATTCTACACGAAAAAGAGCGGATGGACATTATTTTCATGCGATTATTTGCAGATAACTTTGTTTGTCTATATTCCGTTAAAAGGTGCGGGAAGTATTGATAATGTTAAATTAAAAAATTCTAAATCACTTGTTTCAGTAAAGGACACGGGTCTTGAATGTTTTAAGTATGCTGTTAGTGGACCGTTTGTAACCGGAAACCCTACAAAAAAACAGTCTTATTTAAAAGATCCAGCATTTCACACTAGATATGTATGGCCTAAAATGCCCGTAACATTAGATGACATCACAGAGTTCGAAAAAATCAATAATATCTCGATAAATGTTTTTAAATTCGACGAAGAAAATTCTGATATTTACCCTCTTAGAATATCAGAAAGCGAGAAAGACGAGTGCAGAGATCTACTGTTGAAAGACGGTCATTATATGTGGATTAAAAATTTTGAAAGATTCTTAACATACGCGAACGGGATAAAAAAAAACTTCACTTTTATTGTAAAAAATGTTTGCTTTGTTTTAGCAACAAAAAAAGAATGTTGACACACGTCCCGCTTTGTTCTTGCGATTTTAAAGTTAGATTAATGAATAAGAGTAGGCTTAAAATACCAGACGCGATTCTGAAGAAGCAAGCTGTCCAGAATATTGATTGTTGCGCTTCTGAGTCATTCAAATTAGCCATCCTCGAAGGACAAAAAACGGACATTTACGATTGGACTGGCGCGGAATCGGACGATATAAGCATCGCTAATATTAAACAGTGGGAAAGAAGGAATCCAACTGTAAGTATCAATGTTTACAGCTTCAATGAAAACGGACAAATTTATCCGTTATGTGTTACATCCTCTGAAACTAGAATACATAAAAATCTTTTAATGGTTAAGAGCGAAAGCGGCACATTTTTTGCTGAAATTTTTAATCTCTCAGCTCTGCTTTCCCGACAGATTAATAGACGCAAAAGTAAATTATTTATTTGTAAAAGGTGTTTATCGCGATTTAACAGCCCCCTAAAACTCGGAGAACATACTCGAACATGTCGTAACTTTCCAATCGGAAAAGTGGTAATGCCAAGCGGCAAAAACCGTTGGTTAAATTTTCAAAATTATAAATATAAGCAAAAAGTCCCCGTTCATATATTTCTTGATTTTGAGTGCATGTTACTACCGATTAGCGAAAAAAGAGGTAACAGAACGCAATTATTGCAACGACATGAACCCTCAGCCTTTTGTATGTACGTAGTTAGTGAATATGAACCAAACAGACGTCCATACACCTACATAGGTAAAAATGCTTCCAAAATATGTATCGAGAAAATCAAAGAGGAAATTGAACGTACTGAAGATTTGTACAGCGTGAATAACCCTATCCGAATATCACCTGAGGCTAAAAAGAAATTATTGGAAGAGGCTAAAAACTGTTATATATGCGAAAAACCTTTACTTGAAGACAAAGTATTAGATCATGATCACTTTAAGCCGTCCTTTTCGTACGCAAAACAGGAAGGTTACAATATTAGAGGTGTGAGCCACTCTCAGTGTAACTTTCAATACACGCGACCTAAATTTGTGCCTATATTTATTCACAATTTAGGACCGTATGACGCTCACCCGCTGATTTTA